ACCTAGGCATCACAATATAATCCTTTCTTAAAAATAGTGTTTTGAAATACAATCACAAATACTGTACAAACAGTATGGAAATACTTTATTTTATTTCTGATTTTGCACTGATTCCAACATACAGGCTCTGAGAAGACAGGATTTTTCTATCTTTACTTGTCTTGTACTTTAGAAAGACTGAAGAATAAAGCATATATGGCTGCTAATAGTATATGGTAGTTACAATTTTAGTTAACAATGACTTTAATCAGAAGCATTACAGTGCAGTGGAGGTAGAGAAATAGGTAATGATCACATTACACAAGGAGAGAGAATTTTCTTTGTCTAGCCATCATCTCATAAAACATACCTATTTTGTAAACAAGAATTTTACAAAAAAATGTCTTCAACCAATGCCAGTGGAAGATGTTTTCCTAACTATGAAGAAAAAAAGTAGTGATGGGAGAGTTTTAGAAAACACGACTGCCTGTTCTACCATTTATTAATTTATAGTAAATGAAGATATGATCCACGTGAAATTTTTGGACTAAAAATGGCAATGTGAGTTACATTAATTAAAGTTAGTATCCAGATTAGCATTCAGATAAACAGATGACTATTTATTTACAAATAAATCCTAATGAATTCAAAAGGGTATATAATTTATAATTTCAGATAAGCATGTCTCAGGGCTCCATTTATGGCAAGAGAACTGCAGATATTTTTGTTTTTCTGTAGCCAAACTGCAGCTGACTCTCTTTTTATAAATGTGTTATAAAAATAAAGATTTGAATTTGTACTCTTTCCATATCCCAAACACATTCTTGAAAGATTTAACAGAACACCCATCTTTCAGGATTCCAAAATTGTTACCTTTGTAGTTGTTTTCTTTTCAGTTACAGGGAAAAAGACTGCCCAGATGAAGATATTTTTACAAGTGATTGTCATATCAGAAAATACATTTAAAAACAAAGTAAAACAATATATGAAATGTGTGTATTACACCAATACAGAACTCTTATTTCTGTGTATTTTCCCATTCAGGTTGACATGTAGATTTTATTTCTATGATTAGCTTTGATTTGTAATCATGGTTTGTGTGGAAGGGAGGTTCCTACTACACTTATATTTGCAACTTGGGGGGAAAAAATCGGGCAATTAGGGGAAAGAATATTTCAATTTTAATATCTGATAGAATTTTAGTTTAATTGGCTTCTGAACACAATAATGTAGGATTGAATTGAAAGGATTGAAATGTTTATCTATGATGACTTTTCCACTGATATGGTAATGAAGTTCTAATTGCGTATTTTAAGCCTTTTCCAGGCAGATCCAAATCTTCCTAAAACCCTTCTGTAAGATTCCCAGTGAGCTTTTTAAACAAGTGAGACATCTTGTTCCTGGAGTAGTTTTGATTTCAGAATCTTGGGCTTTTTAATCCAATCCAATCTGCCCCCCAAAAATGCCCACACGTATAAAGGAAAGCACTGCTCTTATGTGTGGAGTAGAAGAATATTTAGAGGGCATTTGTCAGAGGGCTGTAATTTTAATGGGTCCACCTAATTTTTAGACATATCTCTCCAGTAGAGCATCAATGACTTATTACATGACTTCTCTTTCCAGGGCAGGCAAATAGTCCTTGCTGGCAATTGTGTATTTGGGGCACCATATACTTGCTTTCCATCTCTGTAGACTCTTGCATTTGCTTCAGTCTCTTATTTCTACTCTTTGTGGTTCTACTTCCTCTTTACACTTTTCTTTTAATGTATTTATTCCTGAAGTAATGGCCCAACTCACCCTTAACATTTCACATGAATTGCTTACAAATAGACTCCAGTAACTGAAACTAGCTCTAGCCAATGCTTGCTTGTCTATTGCATTGTGTCACAAATAGGTCCTTTTACTGTTTCTCCAAGCTAAGCCAATTTTCTGCCTCTGACGTGGGCTTTGATACTGCATTCACTTCTAACTGAAAACTACAATCTGGAGTTACCTATAACCCCATGAATGACAATGAAGAAATCCTCATTCAAAGTATCATGTGTATGTCTTATTCAGCGCCTTTTGGCAATAGATTGTGATTAAGAAACACAGATTTGAGAAACACAGTTTTAGGTTCTTACAATATTTGACAGTGTTTGTTCTGCCATTAGACATAATTACAGTTGTTGAATTTAAATGATTTCATATCTGTTTTTTCTCTGTCATTGTCTTGCCATTTATACCCAAGTTTGTGTTTTTTAAAAGTGAATAAATAGCAGCACTAGTTTATCCAGAGTGGACAGGCAAAAGTGCAAATGAATCTTTTCAGGTCTTCTGTATCTTTAATTAAATGTTTACTGATTGCAGAATCTGCTTATTTTATTGTCTCTTGTTGAGAACTGAGGTGGACCTAAATAACTAGCATTTAGGAACTGTCTGGTGATCACTCTGTAAAATAATTTGCCTGATTACACCTTATCAGCTATTTGTTATTTGTGATATACAAATTTATTTATGCTTTTCACTTTTATTTTTCAATTTAAATAATAAATAAAACTACTTTGATAAAAATGAAATGTAAAATCTAATAAAATTGTCTGTTTTCAGCATGTTATAACAGGTGACAACCTTTACAGATGTAAGACACTACGTGTGGCATCTTAATATTCTTTGTCCAGGAAAACACAGATGTTCCATTTCTAACATGATTGGCAGTTTATACATTTCTACCTTACTGGTCTTATCTTCCATTTTTTACAGTGCTGAATTGATCAATTATGTTTGAAATGATATTATTCCTAGAAATTATGTTTTTAAAATCCAGTTAAAGATAAATTGGCTACTAAAGATACTTTACATTTTTATTCTGTTCCTATTACTCTGCTTTTGATCCTTTTCCCTCAATTTAATTTTTCTATAATCTAATCATCACCATTATCATCTGCATAGGTAAACATGGTAAGAAATAATATCATGAGTACAAAATACTATTTTTTATAACATGATTAATAATAGAAGTCAACATTCAGTGAATTTACTTTTCAAAACAAGAATAATATAGAAGCATGTAGAAGAGAAAATATAATTAAAATTATTGTTGTAGAACACTTTATTTTCAAGTCATTCATATTTATATAATGCAGAACCCAATATATTTTGTATTCAGTTCTTGAATCTTTCTTATTCTTAATTCTCTGGCAATTGTACCTAATAGTGAGCACGGTTGTAAAATTTCATATAAAATTCTATATTTCTATATTGCTTCCCTTATTTAGTTACATACTCATTACATTCATCTACATCAGTGGTTCTCAACCTTTTTAATGCTGCGACCCCCAACCGGTTGTAAGTCGAGGACTACTCAACCGGTCGTAAGTTGAGGACTATTCAACTGGTGCAGCACCGTTTGCAGAATGGGACTTTTGGCGGGCTCAGCAGGGCAGAGACAGCCTGGACAATTCCTATTGGCTTTTGAAAGCCAATAGAATTAGACTCTATTCAAGAGAGTCTATTCTATTGGCTTTCAAAAGCCAATAGAATAAAAGGGAGTAGCACAGCTAAGGAAAAGGGGGAAAAATGGTGGACTGCGTTGTTTGGCGACCCTCGTGAAATGGTCGTTCAATCCCAAATGGGGTCCCGACCCACAGGTTGAGAACCACTAATCTACATTATATAAAGCAAATTGCATAATTATATATAATCAATGGCTCTGTACTTTGACTTTTTTTGACTTTTTTTTTTTGACTTTCAGAGATGCTACAAAAAGATAAGAACACAAACATAATAATCTTAAAGATATTTACACAGCCCGCTTCTTAGCGTTCTCTTATCTGTAGAGGATACTTTTATTTACATCTTTGCTAGTTAATTAATATGCAATGGTACTAAACACCAACATATGAAGATTAATAACAAGATACAGTTTTGTCAGGTTTTTTTTATGACCGTTATCTGACTTTTATTTTGACTTTCAGATTTTACTCCCTTGGGTTCTCCTTGGATGTAGGAGTCTTAATTCCACCAGAAGAAAGTTCCCAGGTAAGGCTGTAGGCAGATAGGCCATATCTTTTGGTAAAATACTGTAGTTGATTGATAGAGTATGCAGAACCTAGATTCAACAAATTGCTTTTCCAGAGAGAGCTGAGAAAAAATATCTGTGAAAATGACAAATTGTTCCTAGGCGCAATAAACAATACTAAATTGTATATTTTATAACTTCTCAATATATGCTTTAGCTTCCCTTGAATTATTTCTGGATAGTGAACTGGTCAATTGAAAGCAATTTTATTCAGCCTCAAATAATTATTATCACCAGATATTGATCTTTACCCTGTGCAGTAGCCATTCATTAAGAGTAGACCTCCGATTCCCTTGTGCTTCCAAATTTACTTGAAAAAACAAATATCTTTGGATAACTAGGTTACATCAGATAAATAAGACAGCTTCCTGCCAATTTCATTTAATGAGATAGATAATTTTATTTATTTGTGTCCTGCATTTATTATTTTTACAAATAACTCAAGGCAATAAATATATCCAACATATCTTCCTCCTCCTATTTTCCCCACAACAACCTTGTGAGTTGAGTTGGACTGAGAGAGGATGACCGGCCCAAGGTCACCCAGCCAGTTTTTCATGGCTAAGCTGGGACTTGAACTCACAGTCTTCTGCTTTCTAGCCTGGTGCCTTAACCACTAGAATAAATTGGCTCTCAATAATCCATTCTTTTTAGTTTGAATTTGGCAACACTTATGTATCATATTGATGAATACATTGGCTCTGAAATATATTGTCACATTTCATTTTTTAAAAGGCCTATTTTTACAAATTGTCTCAGAAATGATATATATATTCTTTGAAGGCAGGAATATGCCATCTATTGCCTAATATATAAAATATTTATCCATACAGCACTTGCATTTCACTCATTAGAATTCTTTTCTAATCAATGATTCATAAACAATATGGTACTTATTGAACTAGAAATAAAATCATATCCATAAATGCAATAATAGAGATTAAACTCTATAAATACTGACCTTGTTTCTTTCAACCCTTCTTTCTGAATTACTTCCAATATTTGCTTTGCAGTCATTGGTGAATTGGGATGCTTTTCCAGTGCCTAAAAAGAAAATTTGCAAAAGAAGGTATAGTTATCGATTTACAGTTTAATTATTGTGGTATTATGTATTTAATAGGTTTTTTTAAAAAAAATGAAAATCTCTACATTTTCTGTTAATCACTATAAAAGTAATCGCAGCTTACAGCAGAGTTAGATTGTTAAATCTAACTATTTGTATCTTTTATTATTTAATATTATTTAATTAAATTTAAATAATTAAATTTATTCATTAAATGTTAAATATTATTTAACAATTTATTTTCATATCACTGTATCATTTTCTTTTTCGTTGTTTATTCTACTGTTCCTTTATAATTGTTATATTTGCACTTCTTTTCATTTCTCGATTTTTATTGTTATAAGCCACCTAGAGTAGCCCCACAGTGAGATAGGTGGCAAATAAATTTAAATAATAAATAAATAAATAGGGGAAGCATCTTAATGGATTGCACAGAAAGATTCTTCACACAGCAGATAATAAAATATGAAATTTATTTATCATTACAAGACACAATTTATATTATTTATATTTATAACATAATATATATTACCAAATTCAATAATTTATCTATATTTATGTTTTATATAAATATAAAATATTTATATTTATCTATTTCTATATATGAGTAAAAATAATTCAGTCCTGAAATATACATTCAGGACATACAACATATAAGGCAGTCTTTGACTGCATTATTTCTCATTCGACATTCCAGGGATGGATAGACGGATGGAAAGGAGGAGGGGGGGAACCCTGAGCACCCTTCCCAGGCCATGCCATCACTCTCTTCACACTTCCCTAACTTGTGCTGCTGGAAATCTGAATTTCTTTTTTGAAAATCACTTCCTATTTTGGATTCTGAAGTCATTTTAACATATTTTAGTGACAGAATGTGAAATAAGGTAACAAGCAGTGGTGAGCTGAAGCCTGCTCCTACCAGCTCACAAGAACCAATTATTAAATTTCCTAGAATTTTGCAGATTAATTGAAAGCAAAGCTGACTTGGTAAGATTATTATGAGAGTTTAGAGCAAGGCTTATCAGTCGCCTAATGGTGAAGCAACAACAATGGAGCATACCACTAGCTGTAGAAAATACATGGGATTTCCCTGCTTATGCTTCTTGATACTGGGCTAGATTAGTAGCAGATTTCCCCAGAGTTATAGTACTCAGAGATGCTGGGTGTAAAGTTTGAAGTAGCTTGCAAATTCATGGTCACCATGGACCTCACCCAAATTATTGAGGGTCTGACTCACAGTGGTGACTGTTATGTTGTATATATTTTTGTCTTTGGACAGAGATGTGGTCTGAAGTTGGGGGATGTTACAGTACTTCTCACAGATTGATCATTCTGATTGCTTTTTGAACATTCCATAGCTACTCCCTTTGACAGGACCCATTTGATTCCTTTGCTCCAGGCACCTGAAGGACTCTACAGTTTCAGAGGGCACTTGGGGAGGTTTCTCAAGATAAGGTACATGGTTCAACTGGGGTCTTAAGTCACTTCTTGTAATGAGTAAGCAGAGGCAGACTTGGGTCAGCTTGTTTCTAAGACCTCTCTACACATAGTTTCTGGAAGATCCTCAAAGGAACTTTGGGAGATGAAACAGCAGATAACTAGAGTATCCTTGGAAGAAGACAAAGAAAGAATCTTACCAAACACAAGAGGCTTTGTTAAGGTCCGCATCGTGATAAAAGCAGCAAAATATAGCTATTTTTTCCATTCAGATTGCATCTATGGATTGCCATCCAGTGACCTTCTTCACATGAGTTCTAAAGATCTTTCTTCCCTCCTTGTCAAGAAGACTTGTGAGCCTCTCTTGAGTGATCGCTTTTGGTTGTTGAATTAACTCTGATGTGATGTTTTATTATATTGGCATATATTTTAATGTTTGTATTTGCTGATTTTATTCTTTGTGTATCTGTCCTGAGATGCATATTGATTGGACAGCTATATTAAATATAAATAAACAAACCTTGTCCATGAACCTATATTTAATATTAATGCATTCAAACAACATACATGCTCTGTATGAGAAGAGCAAATTTAATTGAGGCTTGCAAAGCACATTCTCATAATGGATCATAAATCATTAATGATTTAGTAATGTAATTATTAGATTACTAATATATCCAGTCTTACTAATACAAAGTAACATGAGCCAAGTGATATTCATATAATTTTAAATCATATGTTTTGGATTCTAAGGATCTGATATTCAGTCTGTAGTGTCTCTTTTTCTTTCTTTAAAAAAAGAATTGCAATTCACTGTAAAGTGCTTCACTTGAGAATCTGAATAATTGTTGTTTCCACCTCCTTGAGCAGAGAAAACATGTTTTTCTTTCACAGAGAAGGAGTAAAAAAATCCTTCATTCTCTCCCTCACTCCTTTTTGCATGAAGAGAGGACTGCAGGATAGTGAGGATTCAAGGGCAAGTCATCATATTTTTGAGCTCATCTCAAAATATGAATTTGTTTGATGATGGTGATGAAGATGATGTTGGAAGGGACCTTGGAGGTCTTCCAGTCCAACCACCTGCTCAGGCAGGAAACCCCATATCATTTCAGACAAATGGTTGTCCAGTCTCTTCTTAAAAACTTCCAGTGTTGGAACATTCACAATGTCTGGAGACAGGTTGTTCCACTGATTAACTGTTCTAAATGTCAGGAAATGTCTCCTTAGTTCTAGGTTGCTTCTCTCTTTGATTAGTTTCCATCCATTGCTTCTTGTCTTGCCTTCAGGTGCTTTGGAGACTAGCTTGACTCTCTCTTTTTTGTGGCAACCCCTGAGATATTGGAACACTACTATCATGTCCCCCCTCATCCTTCTCTTTATTAAACTAGACATACCCAATTCCAGCTACTGTTCCTTATATGTTTTAGCCTCCAGTCCCCTAATCATCTTTATAGCTCGTCTCTGTACTCTTTCTAGAGTCTCAACATCTTTTTTACATTGTGGTGACCAAAACTGGATGCAGTATTCCAAGTGTGGCCTTACCAAGGCATTGTAAAGTGGTATTAACACTTCACGTGATCTTGATTCTATCCCTCTGTTAATGCAGCCTAGCACTGTGTTGACTTTTTTGGCAGCTGCAGCATACTGCTGGCTCATATTTAAGTGCTTGTCCACTAGGACTCCAAGATCCCTCTCACAGTTACTACTACTGAGCAAGGTACCCCCTATACTATACCTGTACATTTGGTTTTTCTTGCCTAAATGTAGAACCTTACTTTTTTCACCATTGAATTTTATTTTGTTAGATAGCAAATTTTATTTTGTTAGATGTTCAAGTCTGTCAAGATCCTTCTGTATCCTATCTTCTGGAGTTTAGCTATTCCTCCCAGCTTGGTGTCATCTGCAAATTTGATGAGTTCCCCTTCTATCCCCTCATCCAAATCATTGATGAAGATGCTGAAGAGCACTGGGCCCAGAACAGAGCCCTGGGGCACCCAACTACACATTTCCCTCTATGTAGATGCAGGTCCATTGAGGAACACACACTGAGTACGGTCAGTCAGCCAGCTATGAATCTATCTGGTGATAATGCTGTCTAACCCACATTTTTCTATCTTATCAAGTAGTAGGGTGTGGTCTACTTTATCAAATGCCTTACTGAAGTCCAAATAAATTATATCCACAGCAGTCCTCTGGTCCACTAATTTTATCACTTGGTCAAAAAATGCAATACGATTTGTCTGGCATAATCTGTTTTTGACAAACTCATGTTGGCTTTTGGTAATGACTTTGTTTGTCTCTAGATGTTCGCTGATTCATTGCTTGATTATCTTTTCCAGAAACTTGATTATCTTTTCCAGAATCTTCCCAGGTATTAAGGTCAGACTGATAGATCTGTAGTTTCCTGGATCCATTTTTTTTCCTTTTTTGAAGATGGGAACTATATCAGCTCTTTTCCAGTCCTCTGTTAGTTCCCCAGTGCTTTAGGATCTTTGAAAGATATAGTTCAGTAGTTCTGAGATCACATCTGCCAGTTCCTTCAGAACCTTGGGGTATAATCCATCTGATCCTGGTGATTTGAACTTGTCTAGGGGGAACAGGGGCTCACTTATTATTTTCTTACCTATCTTAACGTGTTTTTAATCTGTTTTTTATGGTATTGTTTTTGATAGGTTGGACTGTTTTTTTTTCCCTTTGTGTAATGACGGATGCAAAAAACAAGTTAAGTAGTTCTGCTTTCTCCCTGTTGCTTGTTACCTTCTTGCCACTTTCTCCCACTAATGGACCAATCATTTCCTTAACTTTTTTCTTGTTTTGTTTTTCTTGTTTTTTAAGTTTTACAACTCTTAAAGTAGATTTATCTCAGCTTATTTTGGTAAAAGTGAAAATACCTGTAACTTAAGAAGTGCAATTCTTAGCAGTGATGCTTTGTATCTGAGATGGAAACATTGACAAAGTTTTCATAGATACTAAAGGAAACTATTTGACATTTTCTATAATGTTAGCCCTTCATGATCGACAAGATCAGGGGAAAAAAAAGAGTTTTAAGATTCTTACCTTATTGTATTGTATTATAACAGAATATTGAAAGCTGGACAAAGCCTTCTTTACTTCACGTTATACACAACACAATTAATGCAGAGTTGTTTTGAATTTCTTTCTCACACTTTTTCTTAACATGCAAATACCTTTTCTCTTAACAGTTTTCCATTCTCCTCCCTCATTTCTGAGTCAAACCTACATTCCATCATTCCGTCTAAGCCATCAGAGTCGCATTACCTTTCCTACATATAAAACAGATCAAGCAGTTCATAAAGGTTGATAAGCCTGAAATGGGAGATTGAGATGAAGTTCAAATGTGACCTCTTTTCCCTTTGATAGAAAACAAGGAATATTTTTCCTGATGGCTATTGTCTGGTAAATCCAAAAGTAGTTTAGGGGGACAGGACCTGTGTGAGCATTTTAGATGGAATTTCCCATGACCAGTTTAGATTCAGAAGACTCCAAGCTGAAAAACGCAGCTTGGGACATGCTGTATGTGTTC